CCCACCCTGGGCCTCTCGGGCAACCCTCCAGACGACCCGGGAGAACCCTACGAGAGCCCGAAGCCGGCCCCAGAGGGCTCCAGGCGTTCGAGCGCGCTCCCGAAACGACCCCAGAGAGCCCCAAAACGGTCCACGAAGACCCCAAAGACGCCGTCATACCCCCAAAAATCGTTCCAAAACGTCCCAAGAGGCCTCCAAGAGCATTCCCAAGAAGGCCCCAAGAGGCAGAATTCATTGATTTTCTTTAGGTTTTGGGTGAATTTGGGGGTCTCCTCTTTTCAGCTTCCCGACGCTTCAAGACGGCGGTCTCCTGGGCGTCCAAAGCCGCCTGGGAGGCTCGAAAATTGCGCCACAACCATCCGCAAGGGCTTCCAGGCAGTCCAAGAGAGCCCCAACACGACACAACAGGGCTCCAAGATGGCCTAAGAGAGCCCCATAACAGCCCAAGATGGCCTCAAGGCACCCTCCGAAGTATTCCAAATAGGGAAGGAGGGAGGGAGGGAGGGAGGAGGAGCCTCCGCAAAAAGAACTGAGGACGATGCGGAGAATACGAAGGGAAGGGCGAGAATGAGGAACAAGACGCATGGACGAAGGATAACGAATACCATGATCATAACGGCGATGCTGGAGAAGGCAACAAGGAGTTATCGCTAAATTGTCGGCTTGGCCTTCCTGCCGTTCCGCCTTCGGACCAAGGTGCATGGCGCGAAGCGCCAATATAGTCTTGATTATATATATATATATATATCGATGATGTTGATGCTGACGCTGATGTCTCCATCCGTCCAAGCCCTCTCCATACCTTCATGCGTTGCGGAGATATGTGACGATGTTGCGTTACCTCTTCGAGGTCACACTGCCGGGGGCCACTTTCGGACCCAAAGGCAATGAGAAAATTGCTCGCGACACGAAGAAAAAACACTCTAGCCTTAAGTCGGGCCTGTCCCTCTACAGGGGGGATATTCAAAAATAGTTTTTTTTTTTTTTTTTTTTAAAAAAAAAGTATAGGAACAGCTTTTTAACTAATTTTGAACATTTGGCGAATATGTTTTGAATATTTTTCATTTGTCGTCCAAAATCCCCCTGTAGGGGGACAGGCCCGACCTAACTCTAGCCCAGGGGTGGGGTCGAGAGTTCCGGAGGCGTGAAAAATCACACTGGCAAAAATATCATTCCAATGCTGCCCTTCAGTCATCCCTCTCTCTATCCCTCCCTCCCTCCTTGGCTGCCTTGAGGCCCCTTGCCGCCACCAAGCAGTGTGCGAAACACCCTCGCCTTTGTGCCTCTTCCTCGCAATCCCTTCTGCCAAGTGCGCGGGACGCGCGTGTCTACGGACCGTCGAGGAGGGATGCCGAGCTCCCGAGGGAAGGTGGGAACGGAGGGGTTCCGGGCGGGCCTGCCGTAGAAGGGTGAGAGAGTCAACAGGCGGACGGAGAACCGTGCAGAGCGGGCGGGCTGGCTCTCAGTCAGAGGAGGGTCGTGGAGCCCTTGGGGAAAGTCCGCTGGGCCGCTCCGCCGGCCGCTTGGCAGATGCGGCCTGCCATCCTGCAGAGTCGACGGGCCTGCAGGTGGGGCCCAGCGGCCAGTCGGCCCAAGCAGGGGCCCCGGCTGGGGGTGTGAGCTCCTGGGGAGTAAGATTTGAGACCCCTGTAAAAGAAGAAGAAGACGAAGAAGAAGAAGAAGAAGATTTGAGACCGCTGCAACTTCTCCCTCTGCCTCTCCACCTCGTCGTCCGCCACGTGCCCCCTCAGGCTCGCGCTTCGCCCCTGGCGACCCTCTGGGACGACTGCGTAATTCTCGCGGCCCTCTGCACTGGCATCCCTGCGCCCGGCCAGGCCATGGCTGCTGGGGCGCTACGTCCGGCGCGCCACCTCGCCCATCGAGCTGCGGCGCTGGGGCTCGGGCGTTGCCGGGTTCCTGAACAGGTTCGGCTCTCCCCTGGTGGACCCCCGGCGGGTAGGCGACCTCGTCTCGGAGGGGTCTGGGTTGCCTGCACAACAGCTCCTCTCCCGCTTCCTCCGTTGCCTCCTCGCCATGCCACGCCACGTCAGCGGGCCGCGTGCAGTCCGATTCCGCAAGCTTGTTCGGTCTGATGTGCATCGCATTGCGAAAGCAGTTTATCTCTGCCTGATATGTTCAAGGCCTATGGGCAGTCTGTGATTGGCCAGTGTTCTGCACAGCAGAACGATTGCATATCGTACCTGGTCATTGGTGTAGTCATCGCTGTTTGCACCGACTTGGGTTATACACTCTTTGCTATCGCCATTCGCAACGAGCATGTCGTTGCTCATGCCTTCCTGTGACATGCATGGGTTTGGATACTGCACATTCTGACATCACGGTGCCAACAGAACGCGTCCTCAGTCGGGAGGCTCACTACCCAAGAGGGCAAGTTGGAACATTGTATTTGGATGATGTGCCGCAGAGCTTCCTTCGCGTCAACCACTATGGACAGTGGAAGGGGCAACTTTGTCTGGATGATCGCATGCATTCGTTGTCAATGCTCTGCATGGTTCTTCATTCATTTACCTCTTGAAGGTGGACTCACGATGTTAGGGAAGATGAGGAGAAAGAGGATGGGGTGTGGACGGATACCGAGGAGACAGGTCGAGCAGGATTACCTGCTGGAGCGAGAGAACTTGAAGAGGGCGCGGGGTGAAAAAGAAGGGCATGTTATTGGAAACCTTCCGAAGGCGGCGAGGGCCGTGGAGGAGACATAACAAATACCGAACACGTTGATGCAGGCTCCCGCTCCTCCTGCCCATTCGAGCAGTCATAGCCTGCGAGCTGCGAGTTAGAGACCCGCGGATGTTGTAGTCGTCGTCGGCCTGCGTTGCGTGCACGAGAAAGATGCGTGAACGAAGAAGCAAGTTACATAGTCCCAATTTGCTCAGGTCTTAACCACCTCCCAGGAGAGGGAGCGGGCTTGGGAAAGAGAGAGCGAGAGTGAGAGCGAGAGAGAGACCGACCAGGGCCAGAAGGGCGGGAGAGGCGGACGAGAGGGGAACCATGGTGATGCTAATACAGCTTCTTTTCTGAACAAATTGGCCGGATTCGATCCCTGCGTTGGCATGAAGCAACGTGTGAGGAGGGAGGCGAGATGATAAGTACAAGAGGGGACCATTGTACCGTCGAAGGTAGGCTTCACTCAGCCGACGGTGTCGGTGGCGTAGCATACCACGACTAACATTCGTGCAAATGACTTTCTTTCGCATATGGTTGTGTCGACTGACTTACTAGGGAGGAAGGACGAGGAGCTGGAGGAGGAGGAGGAGGAGGAAAATTGAAGATCCCGTTTTCGGCAGTTGTTTTGTCCAGCTGCTGGCGTGACCCAGCGCCCGGCTCGATGCAGCTGCTCCCTGCAGAGACGTCGGGCGGGCTTCGGGGGATCAGCCCGGCCCGAGGGCAGGCCACACCTCTGGCGGCCCTCCGCAGCACATCGAGACGGTGGGTCTTCCGCAGTCCTGGGCCTCCGCGAACGCCGGGCTTCGGGCCGCACGGCGATCAGACGGGCAGGCCGTTGAAGTAAGGACCGCTCGGGGCTCGGGAGGCGCTCTGGTCTTGGGGTCGTTCCCCGGACCCCGGTCGGGGGGAGCTGTCCGTGGCCGAGGCTCGCCGTGGCCGGAGAAGCCCCTCCGGCCCTCATTCAGCGTGCCCTGCGGTAGCACGATGGCTGTAGTTCGACTCGGGATGGTAAGCCCTCGTGGGAACGGAGTCGAGAGGTCTGGTGGCCAGCGCCTTTAACACACCGGGCCGCTGGGTGTGAGGGGGGGGGCGGGACCAGGGCAGTGGACCCCATTTCAATGTCTTGGGCCTTCGTCCTCCTCCTCCTCCTCCTCCTCCTCCTGCTCCTCCTCCTCCTGCTCCTCCTTCTCCTCCTGCTCCTGCTCCTCCCCTTCATTATCCTGCCCCCTCTTCCTCCGCCTCCTCCATCGTCCGCTTTTCCCTCATGCTTCTCAGCCCACGTCCCCCTGGCAGTCAATCAAGCTACCCATGACGCGAAGGCCAACACGAGTTCCCCCTTCCCCCCCCCCACTCTCCCTCCTTCTCCTCCTACCCCCACCCTGCTCCTCCCCCCTCCCCTCTGGCCCGTTCGTCCCCCCCCCCCCCGCCGCGCGGATGCGAGGCCCTGTGCTCCACCGCCCGCCGGCCCCAGCCAGCACCGCGTGGGGTCGCCATGCCATCTCGCGTAAGGCCCGTCTCTTTGAGCCTGTCCTGTTTTATTTCCTGGCAAGTTTATTTGTATGGACGGAAGGGGCTGAACCTGAAGCAAGCCGCAAACGACTGGCACGTGCGGAGATCCCGCAAGTCGAAAGGCACTTGCACGCCAGTATTCGTTTGAAGAGGGGCGAGTGGTGGTGGTGGTGGTGGTGGTGGTGGTGGTGGTGGTGGTGGTGGTGGTGGTGGTGGTGGTGGTGGTGGTGGTGGTGGTGGTGGTGGTGGTGGTGGTGGTGGTGGTGGTGGTGGTGGTGGTGGTGGTGGTGTGTGTGTGGTGGTGGTGGTGGTGGTGGTGGTGGTGGTGGTGTGGTGGTGGTGGTGGTGGTGGTGGTGGTGGTGGTGGTGGTGGTGGTGGTGGTGGTGGTGGTGGTGGTGGTGTGTGGTGGTGGTGGTGGTGGTGGTGGTGGTGGTGGGGGGGGTGCGGTGTGGGTTGGGTGGTGGTGGTGGTGGGGGTGGGGGGGGTGGGGGGGGGGGGGGGGGGGGCGAACTCCATGCAAGTAAACCTTTCCCGAATCTAGAAAAAAAGCGGCTCTTCCTGTCGATCAAGTGACGTGGCCAGCCAGGGCGAGAGACAGGCACTCGATGGCCACGCGCCTTGCGGCAGCGCTCGGGCCTCTCACGTGCTGGCCCCCACTGCGTGTGCATCCAGCCCCCTGGCCTCCGCGGTGCCCCAGCGGGCGGGGCGGGCGGCGAGCTCCGGTGCCACCCCCCCGTCGCGCGCTGCCCAGACATCCAGCTACTCCAATTTTTTCGATGCGTGGGCCCCAGGTCCAGACCACTTCTCTATATAGGGCCGGTTTTTCGTCCCGACTCGTTTTTTGATGCTCCCGAGGCCCAGCGAGGGCCCCCAGGGGCCGAAAACTGCCAAAAGCCGCCTGCTCCAATTTGTCTTGGAGCGTCGGATCTCATGGTCCTGGCGGGGCTCCGTCGGGGCGGGGGCCAGCGACGCCGTCAGGCCGCTTTGGCCCAGCGCCCCCGGGGTCGCAAAGCACGCCCCCGGCCGGGCGGGCCGCCATGGCGGCCCTCCGAGCCACGCTGTCGCTCGCGCTGCTGCTGCTGCGCCCGGTCGCGAGGAAGCGCCGGGCCCCTCCTCGAGCGCACGACTTTGCTCGGGACGATCGAAATGGGCACGGAGAGAATGGGCACAGTGCGCAACGGCAGTTCTGGTTCATTCTGAACAGGACTCGCTGTCCGCGCCGCCCAACAGCGACCGCTGTCGGTTCTGGACAACATTTCTTGTTCCGCATTGTATCCATGATTTTTTCCGCACCCATTTCGGGCGTCTAGATTTGCGGAGGCCTTTGCCAACCCGCAGGCGGTACGCCACCACCGAGCCCGCCCAGGGCCATCCTGTGCCCGATGGGGTGTGGACCGTCCTGGCCTAGGCCAGGCGGGTGTGTGTACACCCTGCCAAGGCCCACGATGGCCCTGAAGTAGAGTGGTGGCGCGCTGCATGCCCTCTGCGTTGGTCCGCTGGCACTCCAGGTGATCTTTGCAACGCTGGCGTTTTGAACGATGTCGTGGCCCGGGGTTCCTCATCATCGGGCCCCGAGGCCGTTGACGGAGCTACCCGCGGCGGAAACCGCCCCCCAAGGGATGGGGTCGAGAACTCCAGGGACCCTCGTTGTGGAACGGCGTCGGAGGTCTTGCAGAGAATGGTGTCCGCCGACTCCCGAGACCTGTCAGTTGGCTCGGCCGCTCGGGCCGAGATCGGGGATCTAATCCACCGCGGGAAGGCGACGTCGTGTCTTGGTGGTGGTCTCTGCGGTCTGGGCGTTCAAGGGCCGTGTTCGTGTTGGGCCCCAGGCGGAAAGCCAGTCCTGGGAATGCATGTTGCCGAGAGCTCCAGGGGGCCATGCATTCAAAAAGCGACATTGGAGCCGCGTGCATCTGCCACCATCACCAAAATCGGGGATCACGCACCCCGACTGCAAATGCACATGGCCATCAGCTGGCACCACAGCCAAGATTGGGGATCTCACGTCCGTCATGGGAACGAGACCCCCCATCGTGGTGCTGGTTGACTGGGTCATCCGCAGGGGCGTGAACCATTCAGGAAGGCTCCAAAAAGGCTCGGAAACCTCAGTCGTCGTCTTTCGAGCGCTGGTGGTGTTGGTGGTCAGGGGAGTGGGCCTGGCCTCGTCGTCGCCTTGGTCGTCACCGTCGTCGGCTTCGTCGGCTTCGTCGGCTTCGTCGTCGCCCTCTTTGTCCTCATCGTCGGCTTGCCGCCTCTCCCTGGATATGCCCAGTCTCCGTGGCTCGAACCTTCCACTTCACCCCCTGCCTTTCGCCAGAAATAGTTAACGTGCCAGTCCTCCTTCCGCACCCTGCCGTCCGCGCTGTGGGCAGCAGGGCCTGCATCCTTGTACGCTGTGGCAAGATGTCTTGCAGTCGTGTCTGATTGGTAGTTCGGCCCTGCCGGATCAGGGGTGGCCTCGTGTCATGTCTACGGCTTCTCATGTCTTATGCATGTCTGGGACAGGGGCTGCCCTCGAAAAAGTCTTGCGTCCTCTCGGGTGATTGGTCTGTGTAACAGTTGACCCCGGAAGTCCCGAGAGGCCGAAAATTGTGGAGGACGCCCGTCTCGACCCTTTCGAGACGCCCGATGTCTGGGGCTATGTTTATTAGTCGGCCATGTCCCTCTACAGGAGAAAAGATCAAAATAGTTGAAGAGATAGTGTGGTTACGATTTGGGGTGTTTTCCTTTATCTGTGATTATGTTTGTTGTTTCTTGTTTTCCTCCAAATCCGCCTGTAGTCGGACACGCCCGACCGAAGGCTATGTCGCTCCCCCTCGCTGCTGCCCGGCCCAGGGCCACCTCCGCCGCAGACGTGCCCGCAGACCCGCTCGCGGGCGCGGGCGCGGCGGCGCCCTCTGGCACACCTGGCGAGCTCTCGGGCGGCCGCCGGCCCGGCCCCGCGTTGCGGCCTCGGGCGGCCCTGTGAGCGGCCCCGCGGGGCGGCCTCGGGCGGCCTCGGGCGGCCTCGGGCGGCGGTGTCCTCCTCCTCACTTCTCGTCCTCCTTCTCCCCCTCCTCTTCTCCTCCTCGCTTCTCCTTCTCCTTCTCCTCCTCCTCCTCCTCCTCATCCTTATCCTTCTCGTTATCCTCCCCCTCTCCTCCTCCTCCTCCTCCTTCTCCTCCTCCTCCTCCTCCTCCTCCTCCTCCTCCTCCTCCTCGTAGATCCGACGTAGCGAAATCGGGCGGCCTCCTGCAGTCGGGACCCCCGGCTCGGGCGCACGCGGAGGCGGGCTCCTGGAGTCGGACGCACGCGGGTGAGGGCTCCCGAAGTCGCTCTCGGCCAGAGGCGGGGGCTCGGCGGAGGTGCTCTTCGAGGGAGGTTCGGAGGTTCGGCGGAGGCCATAAGGAGCGACGCAGAAAGATCGGTTTCGTTACGCGGCCCTTCGCGCGCCAGCTGCCCGCGCAAGGTCGCGCGTGAGCGCCTGCGTTTCCGATGCGGCGCGCCGCGCCGGCGGCCCCCGTAAGCCACCGCGCCACCGCGGAAGGCCGCTGTACCGACGCGCAGAAGAGACCCGCCTCGTTCCGTCGCTTGAGCGTTCGCGGGCGATTGCTCTCCCCGAGCCCCCGCGCTGCCCCCAGACAGCTCTTACCACCCAGACAAGGTAGGAAGGTGAAACCGTTGCCTCATTCATTGCTTGGCCGATCGGCGCGCACGGGCCCTCCCCCCCCCATGAAGTAGATCTTGTCTGTAGCGCCCCCCCCCAGGCGCAGGTGGCGTAAGCACGGGCGCCCCGCCTTCCCACAGGATTCCCCATGGCAGCACTGCTCGAACCAGTCGCACTGAGCAGAGGCCCGGAGCCAGCCGCGCCCCCCTCTTCCCCCCCCTTTCGCTCAAGGTCGGAACGCCGAATGAGAGAACGTGCGCACCCCTATCGAGGATGGACACTCCCCATCGTCTATCCCCGTTCGGGCACAGGAAGTGCATAAGAGGATGCGGACTCTCTGAGAACCTGGCTGGTCTGAGGCGTGCGCGTTGTCGTTCTCCTCCTCCTCCTCCTCCTCCTCCTCCTTCTCCTCCTCCTCCTCTCCTTCCTCTTCTTCCTCTTCCTCCTCCTCCTCCTCTTCTTCCTCTTCTTCCTCTTCCTCCTCCTCGTCCTCCTCCTCCTCCTCCTCCTCCTCCTCCTCCTCCTCCTCCTCCTCCTCCTCCTCCTCCTCCTCCTCCTCCTCCTCCTCCTTCCTCCTCCTCCTCCTCCTCCTCCTCCTCCTCCTCCTCCTCCTCCTCCTCCTCCTCCTCCTCCTCTTTCTTCATTTCGTAGCTTTCCCCATGGGATGCCAGTGTTTCAGCCCACCGTGCCCGCGCGTCCCTCCGGATGTTCAGCTCTGTGTGTGCGGGCCCCACACTGCCTGTCCGGTCGAAGCCCCTGCAGAGTCGGGAAGAAGGTCGCCCCGTCCCGCGGCAGGATCGGCTCGCGGGGAGAGGGCCCAGGCTTGCAGGCCTCCCGGACGGGGTCGGGGTGCAGTCAGCCCGTATAGCAAGGGTGCGCGACAAGGCTGCAAGGGCCTTGGGAACCCATTTCGAAGCTTCCCGACCGGGGCGCGGCCAACGGAAGTGGCCGAGGATGGGCCGAGGAGGCAGGGATGCAAGGGTACCCTTGGGAAGGTGGCCCATCCTTGCTATGCGAGTTGAATGTAAGTGGGGTCGGAGGATCGCGCCGCATCGACGACGCGTTGGCGATGCGGCTGGATGTGGAGACCGTGTTTCCCCACGCCGACGTCGCCGATGCATCGCGGGTGCATCGCCGACGCATCGCCGATGCACCGCCGATGTATCAGCGATGCGGCGCGATGCTCCGACCCCGTGCTGTCATCCGAGGCGCGCGCGCGCGGGCACCTCCCCCAGCGCAGACGTCCGCGTCTGCGAAGCGCCTTCTGCGGCGCTCTGCTTCGGTGGCCGCTCCAGAGGTCCCGGCCTCCCAGATGGGGTCGGAGTAGGTTTGAGTCGGGCCCGTCCCTCGACAGGCGGGATAATCAGGAATACTTCAGATAGTCTGCCGACGATCTGTCTTTTATGTTTGGACCATTCTTGAACTTCCGAAATCCGCCTCTAGGGGTACATGCCCGACCTGAGAGTAGGTGGGGTCGGAGGATCGCGCCGCATCGTCGAAGCATCGGCAATGCGGCTCCATGTGGAGCCCCATTTTCTCCCCGCCGACGTCGCCGATGCATCGCCGAGGTGTCGACGATGCATCGGCGATGCATCGGTGATGCAGCGATGCCTTGGCGATGCGGCGCGACCCTCCGACCCCGTCTGTTCGGACCCCACTCGTGGGAGGCCTCTATCTCTTCGGTGGCCGCCCCAGAGAGGGCCCTGCCGTCGGGGCAACTCACCCTCGACGAAGGCTGGCGGAAGGCGGGCAGAGGACGGCGGGTGAGAATCGGCGGCGGGTCTGCCAGGGGAGTCGAAGAAGAACAAAAAACCATACAAATCTAGATTGTTGGCGCTCCGCGCGGATATCTTGGATCGGCGCTGGGCCCTTCGGCGCGCTCCGCGCGCCAGGGAGGGGGGTCCAGCGCAGATCCAAGAAATCCGTGCGAAGCTCCAAAAGTTTATGCTTTGTCGTTTTCTCTTCTTCTAGGGAAGCCGGAGGGAGGTCGGCGGAAGGCGGAGCAGCAGTGAGACGCTGACACTTTTGGAGTCGGCCTCGCGAGGGGGTGGAATTGCCAGGCGGCCACGCGCGGTCTCTGGGCTTCCCATCCCCTCGGAGCCCCGTCCTCCCTTCCCGCCCTGCCACGGTCCGTTTGGCCCCGATCGGTTATATTCGATATCGGCCTCGGCCGGCTTGATCCGATCCGATTTGATTTTGACGTGGTTTGAGGGTGCCCCTTCCCCCGCCTGGTTTGCCTCCCTCCACGGCCGCCCTCTTTCTTCCGTCTGCACGGCCCAGCGGAGCCCGAACCAGCCGCGGCGTGTCCCACATCGTTGCAGCCAGAAGTGTTTTGCAGAAGACTGGCATCTCCCTCCACTCGTGCCCCCCTTTCGGCTCTTTCCACGGTCGACGCCCTCTGCCTCCAGCTCAGCGCCCCCCCCCCTCTCTCTTCCCCTGGAGCCGAGAATGTCCTGATTGAGGGGGTCCAAAGACCAGAGATCCTCCGTTTACATTCGACAGCCTACTCCCTCTCATGCACCCTCCTTACACCGCCCTCACCCTCCCATCCCCGATAGATACCAATGGCTCGTGTGGTGGAGACGGGACCCCTTCCCCAGGGCTGACTCGTCGTTCTGTGAGCCGTTCTTTGATAGTCCCTCGTCCGAAAATGGACCCCCTGCAGAGACCCGACGAGCCGACCGTCTCGCTTGTTGTTTGATCCGCTGGATGTCTGGGCTTCGGGCCCCAACGTCGACCCCCAGCCTGGACCTGTCCTCTGGCGAGAACTTCGAGTAGTGCTACAAACGCCCATGCCCTAGGGCGTTTGTAGCATCTGTCGCACTTCGAGCAGTTTGCAAACGCCCATGCCGCCCATGCCCCAGCGAGGGCAAGAACTTCGAGTAGTGTTACAAACGCCCTTGGTGCTCGAACCCCGATCTCTGTGAACCTGTCCAGACACCGACGGTCCTCGAACTCGGATGTCTCGATGCTTCCAGTACGGGGTCCCCAGAGAATCTCGACCCTTTCCCCGCGGAGCCGGCTTCTCATCCCAAGCCGTCTGCTCTTGACGTTTCCGGAGCTTGAAGCCGGCCCTTGGAAGCTGAAATCGAGGAACACCTCCAACTCGGTATTTTCAAGTAGAGAAGAAGAAGTGCGCAAACTGAAGCTGTGACACCTCTGCGCGGATTTCTTGGACGGGCGCTGGACCCTCCTCCGTGGCGCGCGGAGCACGCCAGGGCCGCCACCAGACGCGCAGCCAGGGGTGTCCAGCGCCGGCCGATCCAGGACACCCGTGCGCACCTCCGACGTCTGCATGGGGTCGGCACCACTCAGACATGCTGCAGTTCACCCGCATGGTAAAGATGAGCAACTTTCCCCCTTGTGTCCTTCCCCTTCTTGCGTCCTTCCCCTTCGGCCCATCCTTGGCCGCTGTCGCTGGCCGCGCCCGCTCGCGAAGTGCCGACATGGCCCTCAAAGGCCCTTGCACTGCTATCGTGCTTCCTCATTGTCCGGGTTGACTACGATACTATGTGTGCGTCTGCACCCCAGGGGCGACGCGCGCGCTGAGAAATCTTGTAGTATATGTACTCGGTGGCGGGCGCTTTCCGGCCATGCCGCTCGCGAAACGATGTGCTACAAGATGTGTGTGCTGCATGTTGGCGTCGGACGTGCGCCTCCAACAGAGGCACATCGAGCTATCTGGAAATCCTTGGGCCAGCCCACCGCCGAGTTCGAGCCCGATCCTCTCGAGGGCCCCAGACCGAGCTCGAGTACGAGCCCCAAAGTTCCTGCCCAGGTTTTCGTCCTCGTTTCTTGCTCCCCATGCTGCCCCAATGTCTGCCCTGTTCTCCCCCTTCCCGTCTCCGCTCCCTCCTCCTCCTCCAGCACCAATCTTTCCTTCCGCGTCCCATGGGCGTCTGGGCCTGGCCAGGCGACGCCGCCGGCGCGGTGGCGCTCGGCGCCCCCACCGCCGCGGGCGGCGCCCTCGGCGGCGCCAGCGGCGCAGGAGGAGCGGCAGCGCCACGCCCGTTGGGGCGGGCGTTCCTCCCGTCCCGGACCGCTCCCCGTCGCGGCGGCCTTGGGATATCCACGACGCGGTCGGGGCAGCCGAGGGGCGCTTCGGGGCCGAGTGCGGCACCACAGGGGGCGGGAGCGGCGCAGGGGGTGGGGGGGAGGACGCCGCGGGCGGCGGAGCATGCGCGGAGCAGGAGGTGCTCGCGCGTGCGTGCCGGAGCACGGGCTCAAGTGCTCGGGCGGCAGGCGGGAGTGGTGGGGCAGTCCACGGGCCAGGGTGCGACGAGGTCGGGGCATGGCAGGCCCACCGCCCTGGGCCCCGGACATCCAACGCCTGGAAGAAAGAGGGCGGCCTGTTTTTGTTTGTTTTGCAGTTTTCTGGCTCTGGGGGCGTTTCTTTAGTTAAGAGTCCTTAGATCGGATGCCCGAATAGGCGAGAATTCAGAGTTTGCAGCCTCCGGAGGCCTCTTTAGGTCTAAGTCGGGCATGTCCCTCTACAGGAGGAATAGCCAAACATTGCAACAGAAATAGTCAGGGGACGATGTTTTCAAGTATTGTTCGGCATGTTTTGGATCTGCTTGACTATTTCTTATCTTTAGGTCCTCTCGGGGCTGTCTCGGGCTCATTTGGGGCTCTCTTGGATCTCGGGGCTCTCTCTTTGGGCCCTTTGGAGATATTGGGGGCCTTCTCGGGGCGGTCCTGGGCCAATTGTTCAAAAGGAGTTATGCCTGCCTAGGCCGCCCTTCCCACTCGCAGGCCGAAACATGGCCTCCTGGGTGGCCTCTTGAGGCGCACTTGGGGGTCTCTTGCAGGCCTTGTGGGCCGTCTTGGGGCCCAGTTGGGCTCCTCGTGGGGCTTTCTGGTGCTTCTCAAAATTCTCAAGAGGACCATCGGAGGCGAAACGGCGAGAAGGCAAACATCATTGTTTCTGTTCTCTAAAGTTTTGGGGTCGTGTCATTCTTTTGGGGGGTCCCTGGGGGTCTCCCACGGCACACGGAGTCGTATCGGGGCCGTTTTGGTGAATCTCGGAGCTATGTCGGAGGCTGTATCAGATTCGGCTATCTTGCGCAATTTGCGGAAGACATTTTGGCGCATCGGGACCATCTTTGAATTTCTCTCATCTAAGCCCTCGCGCCTCCCCGTCCAGACCTAGGGGACGGGGTAGGGGGAGGGGTCAAGACACCCCCTAGATAGCAAGTCGTCTAGCTCACTCCCACCCGCCCTCCCAATACATTAGTAACACCCGAACCTCAGCAAGTTCAGCGGTCGTCTTTGGATGGACAGGTACTGGGAACCAACACCGACCCCGTGTGCTCGACGCAGGGGCGAGGTGTGCCACGCGTGCCAGGCGCGCCACGCGCGCCAGGACCCCTGGGACCCGAGCGTGCCAGGCACGCCTGGTGCACCAGATGTGCCACGTGCTCCGCGTGCGCCAGGTGTGCCGCATACTCCAGCCGAGCCAGGTGCGCCACGTTCGGGGCACGTGTAGAAGGTCAATGTGTTTCAGGTGCGCCTGCGCACGTGACAGCACACATCGGGAAACATGTCGGCTCCCACCATCCTTGCCGAAAAGCAATGCCCATCATTGTGTCTAGTGGGCCTGCGCACAACAGGTCATACGCCACCATCCCCGCCGTCCCTGTCAAAAACTGCTTGACAGTGATCGCGGGGTGGCCGCGCATCATCCAGATTGAGTCGCGAGGTGCATTTTGTATGGTTCTTGTTAGGGATGGTGGCCCTGCGCACAGCAGGCAATTTGCTGACACCCCCGCCGTCCCTGTCAAAACAATACAAAGTGCTCGGGGGCCTCACGGACGTGACTGAAGACTTGGCCCCAAAGTGTATTTTGTAGGGTTTTTGACAGGGATGGTGGGGGGGTCCTCATCGGGTTGGCCGCGCATGCTGCTCCAAATGTGGAGGCAGAGTGCGTTTTGCATTGGTTTCTTGACGGGAACGGTGGGGGGGGGCCCTTATGGTGTCCTCATTGTTTCTGGTTGGCTGTGGGTCGCCTGGGGGAGGGGGTGCAGATTAATAAGGAACAGTGATTGAGATACCCACAGGCAACACGCCATCTCGCTCATTCCCGCCCGCCCTCCCACCACGTAAGCAGCACCCGTGCCTCAGCATGGGCAGAGGCCGCCATTGACAACCATCGGGAACCAACGCAGACGTCAGCGAGGTGCACGAAGTCCCCGAAATGCGCCGCACATGCCAGCTGCGCCATCCCTGTCAAAGACCATGCAAAGCGATAGCGGGGCGCCCGCGCAAGATCCAGATGTCAGCGTTGCAAAGTTCATCGGGCACACAAAGCCCGAACCCTGAGAACACGATGAAGACGTGGTCTCACTTAGGTCCCCGTCTTAGTATTAAGGATGATGATTCTGGGCGGCTTGGTTCGATACATCTGCAGAAAGACCCCCTGTCCCTAATGTTTGGGGCCCTCTTAACTGAGGTCTCCTCCCAAAGGGTGAGGGTTTTTTTTTGGGGGGGTGAATCAAACGTGTTTTGCGTTTTTGTTGCCACGGGATGGTGGGGTGGTGTTGGCATTGTAACATGCCCCCCCCCCCGCCGTCGTCGCCAAAAACCGATGCCGAGGGACCGCGGGGTGTCCGCACATGATCCAGGTTTTGGTGCGGCATGCACTTTGTATGGTTTACAAGACAAGGGATGGCCGGGGGGGATCCCTGGCTTGCGTGCAGCATGCCGGTACACCCTCCGTCCCTGTCAAACACCAGTGCGAAGTTCAGGGGAGGGAAAGGTACCCATACCTTTACCATTCGCCCGTTTTCCCTTTTTTGGGGCCTCCTGGGAGGTCCTCTTCGCCACCGCTGGATTCGCCTCGATAGCGGTATCGGTACAGGGGGGGTTTGTCATGGGTGCCCGCAATGGGCCGGATTGGCTGCCGGTCGGGTGAGGGAGGGGTGTTTAATGATAGGGGCAGTGATGAAGACACCTCTTGCCCACCAGGCACAAGCCGTCTCGCTCACTCCCACCGCCCTCCCAACACATGCAGCACCCGAGTAACCCTGGCAAACAACAAATGCAAGTGGTCACGGGGCGCCCGCGCATGCTCCAGATTTGAAAGCAACGTGCGTTTTGCATTGTAAGTTGACGGGGATTGTTGGCCTGCGCGCAGCAAGCACTACGAAGGCACCCCCGAAGCCCCCGTCAAAAACCAATGTAACATCGCCGCGGGGCGCCCGCGCATGCTTCAGATTTGGAGGCAAAGTGTGTTCTGCAGTGTTTTTGACAGGGATGGTTGGCCTGTGCGCAGCATGGGCGCATCCCCGCCGCCTGAGAAATCCAAGCAAAGTGGTCGCGGGGCGCCCGCGCATGCTCCAGGTTCAGATGCAGTTGTTTTACAGGGATGGCGGGCTTGCGCGCAGGGAGCAACATGAGGGCCCCCCCGCCGCCCCTGTCAAAAATAATGCAAAGTGTTCGCGGGGCGCCCGCGCATGCTCCAGATCCGGAGGCAAAGTGTATTCTGAATTGTTTGTGTGCAAGGGGTGGCTGGCCTGCGCGCCGCACGCAATATGAGGGCGAATCCGCCGCCCCTGTCAAAAACCAGTGCAGAGTGGTCGCAGGGCGCCTGCGCATGCTCCAGATTTATATGTTTTTGTTGAGTGGGTTGGTGTGGCGAGGGAACGTCATGAGGACGGGTTGGCCTCCGGTCGCCTGGGGGAGGGGATGCTTGATATTTCGGAACGTCAAATCAAGACACCTCTCCCAGACCAGACGCAGTCTGTGTGGATCACTCGCACCCATCCTCCCAGCACAGGAGTAGTACCCGAGCTTCAGCATATGCAGCGGTTGGCTCTGGATGGGCAGCTACAGGAAACCAATAGAGACCGCAGGTGCGCGACGCTGGGGCGAAGTGCGCCACGCGTGCCAGGCGGGCCACGCGAACAAGGCACGCCAGGCGCCCCTGGGGCCCAAGCGTGCCATACATGCATGTTGCGCCAGATGCGCGACGTGCTCCACGTGGGCTAAGCGTGCCGCATGCTCCAGCCGCGCCAGGTGCGCCAAGTTCGGGGCACGCTCAGAGCGTGCCAGTTGCATCCGCGCACATCAGGAAACATGTCAGCTCCCATGTCGAAAACCGATGTACAATCGCGGCGGGGTGGCCATCATGGTTTCTGCAAAACTTGCACACAGCAGGCAATATGCCAGAACCCCCCGCCGGTTTTGTCAACAACTAATGCGAAGCTGTCGCGGGGTGCCCGCGCATGACCCTGATTCAGTCGCGCAGTGCATTTTGATTTGTTTATTGACATGGACGGTGGTCCTGCGTACAGCATTCGATATGCGGGCAGCCCCGCCGTCCCTATCAGAAAACAATGCAACGTGCTCGGGGCTCCCGAACATGACCCAAGACTTTGCCGCAAAATCCACTTCGAACTGTTCTGTTGGCAGGGAGGGGGGGGGGGCATCGGGCCTGTTTGGTCGCCCGTTGGGTGGGGGAGGGGGGGGGAGGAGGACACTGGGTAGAGGTGGGCTACGGAAGCCAAGGTGTGGAAAAACGCCAGCATTGAAAAAAACATTCCGCCAGAAATTTGTTTTCTTGCCTGTGGGCCCCGCGGCTTGCTCAGCCCGCACGCAGCGCGCACGGCCATACAGCAACGAGCGTTGCGAAGTGCCAGCGACGGCCACATATCTTCACATTATATGCCACCTTCGCACTGTGACACTGCCTCGACCCAAGGACCCGACGTCGCAAGCAAAATACAACATCGGGAAACATCGCGACCAGAGGCGTAGACCGGAAGTTCCTGTTGTATTTTCGAGTCAGATCGATACGCCAGGGTCTTGGGCGCCCAGCGTGAGAACATTGCGATGCCACAACCTCGGCGGAGGTCGAGCTGCTGTTGTTGTTGTTCCCCCCACACTCCAAGTACGGGGGAACAATCAAGGGAGGTAACGCCACCCGGACCCGACAATTGATGTTTACTAAACGGCCCTGAGCGTTTATTAAACATCCCTGCCCTGTTCAATTCCATCCTTGGGTGCGTTTACTAAACGGCTTCGCTTGTCGGGGTGATTATTATGGGGGTGGGTTTCCTCCACTCTGAACAAACAATTATATAAACATAAAAACGCCGAGGTCCGCGTGAATTTCTCGCATCGGCGCTGGGCCACTCTCTGGCGCCATATTCCGTGCTGGAGTATGCCGTACCACGCCATACTACGTGCTGGCGTGCCGATAGACGGAACGCGCCAGAGGCGGCGCTGGAGGCGCCGCCATGGCGGCCCCCACCGCCGATTGGAGGAATCCGTGCGGACATTTGAGTTTTCATGCTTGCGTCAACGATTATGACCTCCTCAAGGAGTCCCTCTGGCGCCGGCCGGGGCCTCCGAGGGGCCCGACGAGGACGTGCTGAGCGACGAGCAGGACGGCCAGTGCTCGCGCGCTGGCTTTCTCCTGCTGCTCCTCCTCCTCCTCCTCCTCCTCCTCCTCCTCCTCCTCCTCCTCCTCTTTCTCCTCCTCCTCTTTCTCCTCTTCCTCCTCCTCCTCCTCCTCCTCCTCCTCCTCCTCCTCCTCCTCCTCCTCCTCCCTCGCCCTCCTCTCTGCATTGTCGTCTGGTGAAGCCTCCCCCGCCCAACGGCCGGTCGGCCCTGCAGGGGGCTCATCAAACGAAAGCGAGGCGACCTCTGGAGCACCGCTCCAAGGATCTCCCTCCTCCTCCTCCTCCTCCTCTCTCCTCCTCCTCCTCCTACTTCCTACTCCTACTCCTACTCCTACTCCTACTCCTACTCCTACTCCTACTCCTACTCCTACTCCTACTCCTACTCCTACTCCTACTCCTCCTCTTGCCCCCACCTTCTCCCCCCTCCTCCATCCTGCATGCTGCCTGCTGCCTCCAGCCTCCTCCCTCCTCCTCCTCCTCCTCCTCCTCCTCCTCCTCCTCCTCTCTCCTCCTCCTCCTCCTCCTTCTCCTCCTCCTCCTCCTCCTCCTCCTCCTCCTCCTCCTCCTCTCCTCCTCCTCTTCATCCCCCTCCTCCTCCTCTCCCCCCTCCTCCTCCTCCTCCTCCTCCTCCTTCTCCTCCTCCTCCTCCCCCTCCTCCTCCTCTTCCTCCTCCTCCTCCTCCTCCTCCTCCTCCTCCTCCACTCTCCTTCTCCACTTTCCTCCTCCCATCTCCTCCTCCTCCGCCTCCTCCTGTTGCTGCTCCTCCTCCTCCTCCAGCCACCCTGGCCCTGGCGATGATACAGAGAAGGCGCGGCCCCGCCCGCGCCGCTCCATCTCGCTTCCACTGCGAGGGACCTCGAGTGATGCTCGCCAGCAGATGGCGCCAGCTGGACGCTCGGCACTGCGACCTGACAGGATGGAACCCGTCGTGGGCGAGAGGAGTTCGCATGCAAGAAAGCTTACTTCCAACTCGAGCTTACGACGCGGTGCTTGTGGCGGGCACAAAGGCAGCGGTCTGATGCGGTGGTGGAGTCCTACGAAGGAGAGCTGCAGGCTGTTCATCAACCAGGACAAGTGACTACGAAGGCGACTGGATGTGCAGCCATTACCCGCAGTGGCTTCGCTGACGAACATATCAAGCAGTCTCGGGTCCGACCGCCACCGCTGGCGGGGAGGGATTTGGCGCTACGAGTCCAGAAAGGAGTGCGGGACATCACTTACGGCGCGCTATACTAACTACCCACCTCAGCCGAGAACGGCGTTTAGTATGAACCGGCGAAGGCACTTTCAAAGTTGCGGAGAGCGGTGACGTCTCAATTGCCAGGTCGAACGCTATCACTTTGTGTGGCATAACCGACGGACTTGGAGGACGAAAGCGGCATGGAACTGCATGAACCCCAATGTGCAGTTTTGGGAGACATTCGCACTCGGGATCGACGGCGACAGCGAGCAGGCTAGTGGAAACGTACGCTGATGATGGAACAGGACATGATTTTCCCCGACGACCTTGCACCATACGAGAACACACATGACTCATCGGCGACGCCATTTACAGGACATCTGATTAACTAGTGATTCATGCCGCGCGGATGGCAAGCCTAACTTATTCGTAATCATGCGCCCAGGTGGCTCGGCATGACCCTACAAGCCGTGCGAGAAGCCCCCTCACGAGACCATCTACGTATCTTGCCGGAGGTGCAATGCGACAAGGATCCAGGCAAGCTGCCTCCAGCCCCCACCCCTCGACGCCACGGAGACGCAGGATGACGGTTATCTGGAGGCTTAAGGGGAAAGCGGAATTTCTGACTGACGTGATTGTGCAGTTGGAATCATCGGACACTACACTACGAGACTTGGCAGACAAATCCTCATCCCACGCGTTTTGGAAGGCGATGTGCACCATCGGAGCCAGGCATTTTTCTCCACCTCCACTGGCACCACGTGCCCACGAATGCGCACAACGACGACAGCTACTAGAACGGCGAGCGGAACTCAGGCGATCCAGATCACACACCACGGACTTAAACGAGGTAGAGGAGCAACGCAAGGTTCTTTGTTGCAACGTACAGAAACGGCTAAGGCGCGGCTACATTGGCGGCAAAGGGAATGTTGATTGCCCAGGTTCGTGGAGCGTGGGAAGGACGACGGATGCATAAGGCAGTTAGTCTTCTCATTAGACAGCACGATGTATATTCGGAGACGGACACCTTGACGGACGCAGCTTGGCACCACGACGCTCAGTAAAGAAGCATGCATGGATAGAAGTTCCCTGCAGGCCAAGGCGGAATGTATGCTAATGAATCCGGTGGATCGCATGGCGACAACAGAGATCGGACGTCACAACCCCAGGGGGGTGTGCGTGGGAGGTGAGAGAGGGGACGATCAAAGCTGCGGAGGATTGCGCGGAGCTGGTCACGTACGCCAGGAAGATTTCCCAAAGGCGATCAGTCCCCACAAACATGGCTCCTGCTGAGCTGTGGGATTTGTGTGTTTTTCGGCAGGCAAAGAGACTGAGACTGGGAGACCTGGTATTGGATCCCAGCCCGAACCCGTGTGCATGAACGCCTTCAAAGAGTTCGTGCTGCTGGGATTGACGAAGACACAGGCCCCCAAGTTGGTCCCACTGTGTTGGTCTCGGAGTATGGGGCCAGGGCGATGGACAGGAACGCCAAGCCAGGAGCTTTCGGGAAGCGGGCGATCCACTCGCTGCCGGCCATCGGCAATGTCTTCTTCCGCTAAGCGATTTCGACTTCGGATACCAGCTGGGGCATGCGGTTTCGCCCAACACAGGCGGCGCGAAAGAGCGCCAATGGTGACGCAATGTCTAGCATGGAGGTTCAGGCAGAGCAATCTCATCTTCGCCAACACCGCGAAGGACATGCCAAACGCTTTCGGCAGAGTATCATGGCTTGCTGCTGATCGCGCTGTTGAGAGCTATGCTAACCCTGAGGATTTGGGCACCTTGCAAGGTAGGAACAGCGTCAGCGACACGATGGGGCAGGAGGGTTGCTTCCACACGGAGCCCATGGTGGGCGGACTCTTTGGCGACCCCTTCATCGTGGGTGCCTCCGTGGGGGTCTTCGTCGAGCCTGCGGTGACTTGGTCCGTCGCGGTGGATTCGATCCCTGGGACGTCGCTGCTGCAGGGTTGCTTCCGCGACGGGGACGTCGACCTCTCGCGCTGCCCGTGCGCGGGCGACCTCCGCCGCGCGGTCCCTTCCAGGTCGGCACTCCTTGTTGCCGTGTCGAGTTCGCGCCGTGGACGTAGGCCCGCTCCTTCTCCTGGCACTCTGACCCCCCCACCACGAGATGGGAGCTGAGGTGGCTCCAGTTCGTCCCATCAGATTTGCCCGAGAACATGCAGAGTACAGTCGACCCGCATGGTAAGGATGGGCAACCTTCCCAAGGCTACCCTTGCATACTTGCCCCTTCGGCCCATGCTTGGCGACGTTCGCTGGCGAGCCTCGTGCAAAAGACGCTACCTTGGCCCCCTAAGGCCCTTGCATCGCATCCTTCTGATACGGGTCGGCTGCAGTCTTGAGCCCCCGAAGCAGGGCACCGCCCCTGGCTGCGCGCCGTCTCGGGGGGGTCCGCCCTGTGACAGGCCGCCTGTGCGTTCGAGATCGAGGTTCCCTGCCACAGCGGCGCGCAGAGTTTGCTCGATCGAAGGCAGGGTCGATTCGGAGTTCCACTGCGATGTCTTCTCTTGTTTTGTCTTTCTCTTGTTTTGTCTTGTTTTGTATTGGTTTGTCTTGTCTTCTCCTCTTCCACCTCCACCTCCTCCTCCTCCGCACTCCTTCCCCCCCCTCCTCCTGCTCCTCCTCCTCCTCCTCCTCCTCCTCCTCCTCCTCCTCCTCCTCCTCCTCCTCCTCCTCCTCCTCCCTCCTCCTCTCCTCCTCCTCCTCCTCCTCCTCCTCCTCCTCCTCCTCCTCCTCCTCCTCCTCCTCCTCCTCCCCCTCCTCCTCCCCCTCCCCCATCCATCACGTGGGACGCCCCCTTCAGCGCCGTTGCTGCTCCCCCTGCCCCTCCGTCCCTATTCCTTCTGAATAGTTCCTCCTTGTCGCACCCCGGGGCTGGTCGAAAGGTTCGGGCTGGGCGTTTCGCCTGAGCATCCCCATGACTTATGATCCTGAGCATTCGAGTGTGCAGCAGATTCACGGATGGAAGGCGGCCCGCTTTCCAGATGCGGCTCTCGCATCGGCGCCACGCGCATTCGCTTCAGAGAAATAAAGGTTGCAAGAGCTCCACAGACGGAGGGCGGCCCGTTTTCAAAATGTGGCTCTCGCCTCAGCGCCGCACAAATTCGTTTTTAAGCTCGCAAGTATTTCATTGATGGAGGGTGGTTCCTCTTCAAGATGTGGTTCTCGCCTTTGCGCCGCGCGCAATCGTCTTAAGAGTTTGCAGCAGTTTCGAATCTTCTCAAAGTTAACATACCAGGAATGTTCTTTTGGCACGATGACGGTTTTTGAGGGCGCAACGGTCACGTTGATTTACGGTGTTGAAGTTTCAGAAATGGTGTTCTGGCACGGTTCAGAAGTCAAGACGCAACAGGCACCGTGATTGTCGGCGTTGAAGTTCTAGAAATGGTGCTTTTGCACAGTTCTAGATTTTCGAGCGGTTGTCTCCCAACGGGGCACTCCCCAGTGAAAATACATCTTTATAGGGGCCTATGCAGATGGAATTTAGAGGTAGGGTGTATTGCAATATCGTTGATGAGCCCTGGGTTTACACTGTTCCTCCTCCTCCTCCTCCTCCTCCTCCTCCTCCTCCTCCTCCTCTCCTCCTCCTCCTCCTCCTCGGGGCCCTGGGGCATCAACGAACGATTCAGGATGACAAACCGGCCGTGGGGAAAGGGTTTTTGCTTTTGGGGAGGCCCACGCAGTTCCAGACATTGGATGTCAGGGTATCCCAGGCCCGAATCTGTACGTGACGACTCATGGTGAAGCCGATGTCCCAGGACCTGCAGGAGGCAGTGAACATGGACACCTTTGGGGCCCTTCCGGGGCCCCGAGAGAATATCCGCTCCCTTTGCCTCCAAGGCTCCTTGGGCATCGGTTCCCCAGGCGGCGAATGTCCATCAATTCCAGCCTCTGGCTGCACGGCAGGTTCGCGTCGTGTCGACGCGACGGCCACCCCAGCGCGGGCGTTGAACGCCGCCAGGATCCCAGAATAGGTCGATTTCGAGCGATCAGTGTCGTCGGACTGCCGCCATCGTGCTTAAGCGGTCGCCGGGTGCCCCCCCTCCTCCTTCCCCTCGTCCTCCTCCTCGTCCGCGGCGCATGACGCGGCGATCCCGAGGGGCCCATGGGCACGGAAGCTGCCAGTGGCTGCCTTCTCGCGCGCTGGTGCTCTCTCTGCATGGTGGTGCCCCCCTCCCTCGCAGCCCCAGGCAGTTGATGCGGCCGTGCCGGGGGGGCGGCCATCGCTCGGGGTTGCACGCTCCACACGGTCCCAGACGCCAGCGCAGAAGTCGCCATGACACGGACCTGAGCCTGCCGCAGTGGCGTTGTGAACCGTCTTTGCCGGACGGGGCGGTTCCAGAGTCTAAGCCTAGGATCCGGAGCGGCGATGTCCCCGTCGGGCGAGCTCGGCGCAGGCGTGCGGGATCCCGCTGGCAGCCGCCGCTGGGCGATCCCCTCTCCGGTTGCCGTGCTGTGGTGTTTGCTGCCCGTGCTCGCGTGGCCGTAGCCGCCCCGGACGGGATGCGGTGGGCTCGTGCCACGCCAGCGCGGCGGCGGCCCGAGCGCGGGCCTTCGAGGTGGAACGCCGCCAATCGGCCGACATCAAAGGGTTTCCCCTGCCGCAGTGCGGGGGTCGTTCCGCGATCGTTCAAGGTTGAGAGGTCCACGCGACGTCAGGAACCAATGCCCGTGTCGCCACTACACGAACGTGCCTCAAGGTCAATCTGCCATCGTGCCTCGAGCCGCAAGAGTTATGAGTCATACGTTTTCGGAGGTCCGCGATAGCCTTCAAACACTCATGCTTGTTTTTGCCTCTGTTTTTCTTCCTCTGCCGTTTTTGCGTTTCCCAGTGATCAGGCTTGTATCCAGTATCCTCGTCGCCTCGGTCTCTGAACCCCCAGACCCCTGAGCTCTCCCTGGGGCCCTCCCTGTCGCTGGGGCCGTGCCGCCGCTCGGCTCTGGGCTCCGATCGCTTCGGGCTGTCCTCCACCGCGCGATCGGCCCCGCGTCCCTCGCTGTCCTCCCAGAGATCCGGCGTCATCATTTTGTTTTTTCCATACGGGGTCCCCAGGAGTCCCAACCCATTCCGCAGCACCGTCTTTGCATCCTGAGTCGTTTTGTTGACGGTCCCGGGGCCCAGCGAGGGCCCCTGGAGGCCAACACTTGTGAAAAACCTCCGCCTTGATTTTTTCAGTGCGTTGGATCTCTGGGCTCGCGTGTCGCCCTCGTCGTCGACCTCGTCGCCCCCGTCCGTCGTCCGTGGTTCTCGGCCGCCGGGCGTGTCGCCTCTCTCTGCGCTTCTTGCCGCAGGCCTCCTCTTCGGCTCCCTCCGCTCTCCCGCCCTCCTTGACGGCCGCGCTCTGCCGCCGCCGATGCTCGCCCCCTCCTGGCGCCTGCGCTAGTGTGCGCTCGCTTGGCAGGAGGGGGGGCCCCTTGTCGCCACGGCCAGATCCTCCGCCGCATCCTGATCAAGGGACGCTCCAGGAGATCTCCGGGGGCCGACTGGCGAGGAGGAGGAGGAGGAGGAGGAGGAGGAGGAGGAGGAGGAGGAGCAGAGGAGGAGGAGGAGGAGGAGGAGGAGGAGGAGGAGGAGGAGGAAGAGGAGGGAGGGAGGAGGAGCAGGGGAGGCGGTTTGCGGCGTGTGCAGCAGGAGGCGCAGCGGGAAGAGGACGAGGAGGATGAGGGAGGAGGGCGATCCCTCGGACCACACCGCTCTTCGACTGCTTGGATGTGCACGAGCAGCGCTTCATGCTCTTTGGATCCCCGCACTGCTCCGACTTTGCCGGGGGTCTGTATCGACACTTGCGGCGCTCACGCGGCAGGTGTCCTTCTGGCGCACCGCCTTCGGCGTCGTAGGGTCCCTCATCGGCGTTGCGTGCATGATCGTCTTCCCCTGTGCGTACAAGGCGCCTGCTGGGAGGTACAAGTGTGCGTGCCATTGCTGCTCCTCGGGTGTCCGTTGCTCGACGGAGCAGTTTGGAGCGACAGCAGCGTGTCTAGCAGGAACGGCGGGTGCCACTGCAGTCATCGGCGGAGGAATTCTTCTCTACCTCGTTGCGGTCTCAACCTTCTCCTGTACATCGACTCGTGCTGGAGTTTCACGACTTTCCCCGACTAGCTTGGATTTGTTTGTCTGTTTTGGGGCTTATGTGTTATGTCGATCGACGTGTTTCGATCTGCCAGGATTTCTTTGGTTGGATCCCGACAGCTTGATTGGACAGGACTCGTCATGCCCGTAGGCATGTCACCGCCCCATCTCGTTCTCCCCCCTCCTTTTCCCGCCTCGCGCTGCTCCATGCTGCTCCGCCCCCTCGCCGTCCTCCAGGTCCTGCTCCTCCTCCTCTTCCTCCTCTTCCTCCTCTTCCTCCTCTTCCTTTCAATCCGTATCCATACTGGCTCCAGGTTGCAAGCCCCTCTCGCAATGGAGTGGATACCTCTGATCCGAGGCGAGACCCAGTTGCTTTCACCTCATCGATTCTCACGGCGAGCCGCCAGCGGCCGCGCGATATGTTCACACACACACACACATCGCACTCGAGATGGCGGGTGGGCGGATGTTTCCGATTCCTGCGACTTGGGTGTGCCCACACATTGCAAGGCTTACGCGAGTACATCCTCAGGGTCCAGTCAGCTGCCATACCTGATGAAGAAGTCGCCGATGTGGACGAGGGGCCCAGTTAGGCGCACGGTGCTCAGAAGGAGCAGGTCAAGGACGACACCGAACAATAGTCCGAGGTCATTGACGTCGAAGGGCTCCACGTGCTAGGCGCTGGGGCCCCATCACCGTTGCCGCCGTCCCCTTCTCATCCATCCGATGCTGGCGCTCCTGACGGAATCATGAGCCTCCTCCGCAGCATGAGCCAGATCATATCGAGCGCTGCCACAAACAAGCGGTTTCGCAAGCATCCAGAGCCAGATTGCCAGTCGTGAACAGAAGTTCCAGGTTCTCGAGACCAATGCCCTCAACATCGAGACAGGCACGTGTGAGAATAACACAACCGCAGTCGAGGCTGCCATCAAGGAAACATTGGAAACTCCTCTCGCCGCCTGCGAGAATGCTGCCATTTCCATCGGTAGTTGCTCTACTCGCAGCGAGTTCTCGTCAGCAGGCTCCGCTGCTTCAGGTTCGATTGAAAGCTTCATCCAAGCCGCACACCTACCAGCCGCGAGGCTCATACCTGCAAGATCTGGATCGGTTGTGCTTCTCGCGCCGCGTCGTTGCGAGGGTGATGCTGAATCATTCCGCGCCAAGGTCTTCAGCGCCATTCTTACCCACAATAACCAGGGAGCAGTCATCGCCAATAACGTGTATGTGAGCTGCTCCATCGGGTTCTCTGCCACCGACGTCGCCAACACCCTTTTCGATGTCATGAAGAACGTGGGCCTCTTTTTTATATTGATCTTGTATTCGCTAAGATGCATCTCTTCGGTGCAGGTTCGACGAAAATCAGGAGATACGCCTGCACCACAAAGCTTTCTGAGGCCTGTGGCAAGCCATCATCAGTCACATAAGGAGACGCACAGATAAGGCAACGACCGCTGTCTTGGGTGCAATGGTCCGCGCGACCTCCTCTTCCTGCTGTTCGGTAGCGACGACGTCGAGGTCCGCGCTATGCTGGTGGAGAGGGGACGACACATATGTCTTCAATATGAAGTACGACAGCCTCGCTCAGTCTGTGATCAATCGCACCGATGTCGACGAGCTCGCAGCGCCCCGCACTGGACGAGGGCATTTCGTCGCGAGCCTTGCGCTCAAGGGTTGATGTCAGACCGAAGCGCGTTGGGCGCGCCTCTGCTCCTGCCTCCTTTTTCAAGCATGTGTTGCTCCTCTTCCTCGTTTTCGTTCTTGAGCTCGTGCTCCTACCCCGGGGATGTCCCTGCCCCCTTCGGTTCCCGCGGCCCCGAGGATGCATTTTCTTTCGAATTTCCTGCGAAGCTGTCTATCGAGTCTTGGAATGACCATCGCGCGTGCAACTCTGCGCGGTGAGCTCACATCCCGCGCAAGAGAAGAATCCGAGCGAAGGGTCAAACACATGCACTTGCGAGTTTCACGGCGCAGGCAAGATGGGGGAGGGGACATTACATAGGTCTGCGGCGTGGACCGGGGAAGAGCGGGCATAGGGTGGGGGTCATCTCGGTTTCGCGCGAGCCCCTGCGCCGCCGTTTCGCAGCCATTGCCTTGCCGGCTCTTTCTTCCGTCCGCTTGTTTGCGTTGTGCGCTGCTCTAGGTAGATGGGGTCGGAGTAACCAACAAACGTGCGAGTGGCGTGCCGAAGTGGACATGCGCCGCGCGGGGAACCGCATGCGAACCCTGCCACTGGGGCCTTCGGTGGAGCTCCCGATGAGGCCGCGACGCGTGCGAGGAGCGTGTCGAAATTGACGTGCGGCGCGCGGCGGGCCGCATGCGGACTCTGCCGCTGGGTTTTCAGTGGAGCTCCTTACGGGGCTACGCAACGTGTGAGTGGCGGGCTTATCGACATGCCACTGGGCCCTCCGGTGGCAATCCTTACGGGGCCACGTGAGGGCTGCGCCGGAATGGACGTGCGGTGGGCGGGGGGCCGCGCGCGACCCCGCCGCTGGGGCCTTCGGCGGAGCTCTCTACGGGGCCACGAAGCGCGTGATTGGTTCGCCGGAGCAAGGAGGTGAGGGGGGCCGAGGCAGGGATGGATGGAGGGGGGGCGGAAAGGGGGCGGGGGCGGGGCGTCGTCTTTTCAACGCGAGGGCTCAGCGCCAGTGGATGGTAGAGAACACCGAATATGTAAAGGAACTTTCTTCTGTCACCATGTGGCTTGCCTTCGAGAAGCCAGGGGCTCCTGGAATGAGCCCAGCGTCCTAGAAGAAATCGAAAGTATCAGGGGCGTTGGCGCGTAATGCGAAGTTCGAGGCGCTGGAGGATACGTCACATGTGCTAGCGGGTCTTTTTGTGAGCAGTTTTGCAGCGCCGTTCGCGTTGCCCGTCGAGGACGCGCTCGTTCTTTCCATGTGTCTTGCCCAAAAAGAGCGCTGTAAAACATGGACATCCACAACGTCCATTCCACTCCCATTCTCAGAGCTTAGACGAAGTTCCGGGAGCTTTGGTCCCCCTTCTCCAGTGCCCTCAGCTTCATCGCTGGCAACTGGAACTTCTGCTGCGAAGGCGAAGGGTCGCAACGTCAGTCAGGTAGATTTCTTTCTGCCAAGCCCGGCGCAGTCAGACATGCTGCTCGTCTTTTCTCTCTGCGTGCCGAATGAATCCAGGAGATGCCCGCGCACCGCGCGGTCCTCGACGGCGCCATCATCTTCGTTTCATGGCTCAATGTCATTTTGCGCAGCGCGTCCGCGGCGGAGCTGTTGGACGCGCAGCCGGCCGCCATGACTATCGGGGACGTCGCGGGCAGGCCGCGCTCTCGGATCGCACCCCCACCTGCAGTTCGCTGGCGCGTAGAAGGCCCCGTTCGGATTTTAATTCCAGGCCCCCGAGGCGGGCCTCCAAGCGCCTTGAGTTGCAGGGGCAGCGCGACTTCGCCTTTCACAAAGCTGGCCCCCTCAGTTCGGGCCTCTGGGATCGTCCTGAGGAGTCGATAGTCATGATTCGTCGTGCATCTGGGCCCCCATGGCCAACCTGCAGCCTCGAAGCGCGCATGCCGCGCCCGAAAAGACCACCCGGAGTTGGGCTCTCATGCGCGCGGCTCGCGTACGTGAACGCAGCGTCGCGTCGAGGGTTTGCAGGGCGCGCCCCTTCCTGAGCCATGTCCTGGACCTGGACATTGCATCGTAGTTGAGGCTTCCACCTGCGCGCCAGGGCCCCGTTGCTCCTCCAGCCATGCGCCTCGGTCGTCGAAGACAGCTTCACCGGTGCCGTTCCGCTTGGGCCCACGGGCGCCGCGGGGCCCGTCTTGCTGGAATCACCGACCTCCCAGAGGTCGAGCATGCGGACCCAGACGTTGTCGCCCAGCGATTAGCTCAGCATCGCTGCAGCGTGCCATATGGGCACAGGTGCGCCCCTGATTAGCTCGAAGTCGTTCGACAGTCTTGCAGCCAGCACCGCCCGTTGCAGAATGTGAGTTTTGTTTGGGAGATTATCGGCAGATTTGAACGAAGGTCAAGGGCCCCTCTCCAGGTCCAGGCGGCCTATCCCTCTCCCTCGTCTACTCGGCCCTTTTCGCCGGCCTGTGCGCCGGCGACGGCTTCAACAATGACTTCGCCGTCTGTCTCGTCAAGGGTGAGGTGCCGCCAGATGCGTTCGAAGCGCGCCATTCAGTCGGTTAGACCAGATCTACCGCACAATTAGATACACGCACCAGGCTCTGGAGCATTGCACTCAATCGTGCACGGGTGCATACTTGTCGGGCGGCATGCTGCCACGAGCAGTCTGGCTTTGTGCGCGGCCGCCCTGTGTGCGACAAACCGTTGGTCTCGAGGCCAGCATGCGTCATCCCCTTTGCCAGCAAAGTTTCGCCGACTGCGAATGCGCCCTTTGCGATGGTAAAGCTGTTCCCCTACCTCACGAATGCATCCACTGGATTCTGGAGTTTATGCATATTCCCCCACCAAGGTTCCGATGGGTCATCGAGCTTTTGCATTCTACACGTAGGGTCGGTACTTCGTACAATGGAGATCTTAACCATGGTCCCTGGTGGACAGGTGGCATGAAACACGAGTGCCCGTTATCAGGATTGCTGTCCGCCCTCTGCCTTGATCCCATCCTCCGCTTGATGCCATCTCGTTCCACTCGTGACTCCACTCGACCCGGAGCGATCGCCGACGACGTCGGCATTGCCAGCGCTTGCGTGTACAATGCCTTCGCCCTCGCGTGCCCTATACGGGCGCCGCTGCTGGCGCGGCGGGTCTCGTTTCGAAGGACGAGAGTATCTAGATAGTCATGCCCAAGAAGCCAGGTCGCCAAGCGTTTCTAGCCCGAGTCTGG